GGGCGAGTGCGCGCGGACGGGGGCGCGCAAGCCCTGCCCGCCCCTTCCGTCCCCCCCTCCTCCCCTTCCTCTCCCCACCTTCCTTTCCCTCCAGCACCCCGCGCCGGGCGCCCACCCAGTCAGCCCTCGGTGAGAGCGCTGTCCGCGGCCGCGGCCGGAGCGGGCCGGCAGGCCGGGGGATGGCGCTGCTGGACCTGGCCCTGGAGGGAATGGCCGTCTTCGGGTTCATCCTCTTTTTGGTGCTGTGGCTGATGCATTTCATGGCCATCATCTACACGTGAGTAAGGGGCAGCTTGTGGTGGGAGTCGGGGCCTCGGGGGCGCGCGCGCGGGGGTGGTGGTGGAGCTCTGCGCTTGGGAGGAGGCTGGGCTTTGGAGGGGGTGGGGATGGACGTGGGGAAGGCTCATTCTCCCCGACCCTACCCCCATTGCTTCTCCCCTTGGACCAGCTTGGGGGCCGAAGAGCGTTGGGCGGGTGAGGGGGTTGCTGGGCTGCAGGCGACCGGCACAGCCGCGGAAAAGGAGACTGCTCTTCTTACGTGTCGGGCAGAAGGTGGCTTGCTGGGTTTGTGTTGGGGGTTCGTGGTGCTTATCTTCTGGGCCAGGATGTAAGATTTTTTTTTTTTTCATCGACACGGACCGCATTTCTGTTATGTTGGTGGTCGTTTCCTCTCTTTGGGGAGCTGCACACAACTTCCCGCAGGCCTCCCTGTGGATTATCTTCCTGGAAGAGCTCTGTGGGCTTAGATAGGTGTGAAGCACCTGTGCACCTTGAAAAATGTCCACCAAACCTCCGAGCTGTGTATAGCTTTGAGTCATGTCAGCTTGTAGTTTCAGCGTAGGTTTTCTTCCATTTTCCAGTATCTCATTTATTGTTTTGTTTAAATTTGTACCCCCCCCCCACATACATACATACATATCTTTCATTAGTTATTGAATAAATACTTCTGAGGCCTACAAGATGCTAGTCACTGTTCCTGTGTTGGGGATACACTGGTGAGCAGGACAGAATTCCTGTCCTCATAGAGCTTCCCTTTCTGGGAGGAAGAGACAGATAATAAGGTCATTTCCAAGAGTGGTAACACCCATGAATGTAATAAAACAGTGAATAATTAGTGGCAGAGGGTATGTGGCTAGCTTCGATATTTCAGTTTAAATGTCTTTAAATGAAATCTGCTTTCCTGAAGAGATGACAGAATTGCGTAGAACCCATTGCTAATATGAATTCACATTTTTTTTTTTAGTCTGAAAAAAGAAGAGTCAGGATGTATAGTAATCATTACTACCAACTAACCCTCCCCCCAAAAAAGCACTGCCATTAGGTCAATTCTGACACTATAGGACAGAGTAGAGCAGCCCCATAGGGTTTTCCAGGGTTTTATGGAATCGGACTGTCTCATCTTTCTCATGGGGAAGTGGGTTCGAACCACTGACCTTTTGGTTAGGAGCCAAATGCTTTAACCTTTGCACCAACAGAGCTCATTTTACCACCAACTAGTATCGAGTGGGAGCTCTGGTAGCATAGTGCCTAAGGCATTTGACTGCTAACCAGAAGGCTGGCGGTTCAAACCCACCAACCACTCCTCGGAAGGAAGGTTGGGCATTCCTACTTCCGTAGTGATACTGCCTAGGAAATGCAAGGAGGGGTCGCTATGAGTCGCTATGAGTCGGAGCCGACTCGATGGCAAATAACAACAACAAGTATCGAGTGGCAGCTCTGGTAGCGTAGTGCCTAAGGCATCTGACTGCTAACCAGAAGGTTGGCAGTTCAAACCCACCAGCCACTCCTCGGAAGGAAGATTGGGCAATCTGCTTCCATAGTGATACTGCCTAGGAAATGCAAGGAGGGGTCGCTATGAGTCGCTATGAGTCGGAGCCGACTCGATGGCAAATAACAACAACAAGTATCGAGTGGCAGCTCTGGTAGCGTAGTGCCTAAGGCATCTGACTGCTAACCAGAAGGCTGGCGGTTCAAACCCACCAGCCACTCCTCGGAAGGAAGGGTGGGCAATCTACTTTCATAGTGATACTGCCTAGGAAATGCAAGGAGGGGTCGCTATGAGTCGCTATGAGTCGGAGCCGACTCGATGGCAAATAACAACAACAAGTATCGAGTGGCAGCTCTGGTAGCGTAGTGCCTAAGGCACTTGACTGCTAACCAGAAGGCTAGTGGTTCAAATCCACCAGCCACTCCTCCGAGGGAAGGTTGGGCAATCTACTTTTGTAGTGATACCGCCTCGGAAACCCAAGGAGGGGTCACTATGAGTCAGGTCCCACTCCACGGCACATAACAACAACAATAGTCACTGAACACATTCTGAAGTTCTTTAAAAAACAATTTTGTTATTTTAGTAATCATAAATTAAAAAATTGATTACTGTGTAAAGAATATCAATAATTGAAAGAGAAATAAAGAAGAAAGTTGAACACACATGTCTACTGCAAAATTCCGTTACTTTATTAACCTTTTATAATTATCCTTTTATTTCTGCATGTGTGAAAATGGGACCATATTATGATTGTTCTCTATTCTCCTTCTAAAATTTATTTAACAAATACTTACTGAAAAGCTCTTTTGTACAAGGCCCTGTTCTAGGTGCTGGAAATAAGAGTGAAGATACAAGTTACACAAGGACTCTGCTGATACGGAGCCTCCATGTAAAATGTCATAGTCAGTTTATAGGTGATCTCTGCATCATTTTTAATAGCTGCATGGTATTCTAGTTTATGAGGTAGTAGTATTTACTCATTTTTTGTTATTATTGATGGGCCTTTAGGTTTTTTCCAGTTTATCAAGATTATAAACAATACTGTGATGAATTCTTATACATACATCTTGGAGATGATCTTATTAGTTTATATTTCTGAACAGGGAATTGTGAAGCTAGAAAAAAAAGAAAGAAAAAATTGCCATCGGGTAGATTTCAACTTACAGTGACCCTACATGACAGTAGATCTTTGGTGGTGCATTGCCTAAGGCATTTGAGTGCTAACCGGAAGGTTGGTGGTTCAAATCCAACAGCCACTCCTTGGAAGGAAGACTGGGCAGTCTGCTTCCATAAAGATTTACCACCTCGGAAACCCAAAGGGGGTTGCTGTGAGTCAGAATTGACTCGATGGCAGTGAGTTTGGCTATTTTTTTTTTTTTTTTTCAGTGACAGTGAAACTGCTCCACTGTTTCCGAGGCTGTAGCCTTTACAGAAACCAACTGCCACATCTTTCTCCTGTCCATGGGCTGGTGGATTCCACCTACACCTCTTGGTTAGCAGTTCAGCGCTTAACCACTGCGCCACCAGGGCTCCTTGTTGAGCCAAAAGGATACATATGTTTAAATTTTGATACATATCACCCTATAGAAAAGTTATGTCTATTCAAAGTTCTGGTAACTTTGTATAATGGTTCCATTTCTCCTTATACTAAATACCAGGCTTTTTACTGTTTTCCTCTTTTTATTTTCATTCCTTTAATTACTAGTTCTTTTGAACACTTTCATGTATTTATATGGGAGCTACCTACCCCCCCCCCCAAAAAAAAAACAAACCAAACTCACTGCCGTCAGGTCGGATCCAACTCATAGCGACCACGCCTTGGGTTTCCAGGGTGGTCACTGGAAGTAGATTGCCCAACTTTGCTTCAGAGTAGCTGGTTGGTGGGTGTGAACCGCCAGCCTTCTAGTTAGCAGTCACATGCCTTAGGCACTGCGCCACCAGAGCTCCCATCTAGTTGTAAATTAACACACTCAGTAATGCTTGTCTATGCTGCAGCCTATTGCATAAAAAAACCTTTTTGATTTTCATGTTCCTTTATATGAAGACTGCTTATCTGTTTTCTGTCGTATGTTGCAGTTTTCTTCTCCAGTCTGTGTTCTTTCAACTTTGCAAATACATTTAGCATGGAGAAAAGTGTATGAGTGTGTTTTAGATAGTCAGGCCTTTTTTTTTTTTTTTTTAATGTTTTCTGATACTGGTGTAATTTTTTTTATCTTCTTCCTTCCCCTAAAGTTTTATATACGATGGTCTGTGTTTTCTTTTAGTACTTTTAGTTTTCTTCTTCTTTTTTACATTTTATTCTTTATTGTACTATGTGATCTAGAGCCCCGATTTTAGTTTCACCTAAGTATTTAGCCATTTTTTCCAGGATCATTTATTGCATGCTGATTTTATTGTTCTAGTTTTTAGATATTTTCTTTGTCATAACCTAAATTCTTTGTACTTGGGTATGTTTCAAGGTACCCATGCTGTTTCACAGATCTATCGGTTCTTACACCATTATCCACTCTTTTGATTAATGATGTTTTATTTTTATTCCCTTATTACTGGTGAGGTAAGCCCAACTTTATTTTTTTTGCAAAAAATTTTACTCTTTACACGTTTTTTACCTAGAGATGAAATTCAGAACCTTTTAATTTTCTTCCAAACTCTTACATAATCCTGTTCTTGTTGGAATTATGTTAGGTTTACAGATCAATCTGGAGCAAATTGACTTCTTTCCATGTGGGATCATGGTACAGCTCCCCCCACTGTATATAGATAATGATAAAGTTATGCTTCTTTCACTGAAATTAATACTGTTGATTTACTCCAATATTCCAACTAACCATCTTGGGATGTTTATACTCTTAAACTTAAAACAAGTCCGGAATGGTTTTAAGTTATTTTGTATTTAATAATAAATAGCTAAGTTTTTATTTTAAAAAATGCCTGTAGTGTTTGAGACTAGTGTACACAGTTAGCTTAGTTGAGGTACTGTGGACAGGTTTTCTTGATTACTTATGCCCCATAAAGTTATCTTTTTTTATTGACAGTTACAGGTTTCTGAAACTTTATGTGAAAATAGAATAAAGAAAATGCAAGTAGCATACCACAGATTAGAATAACTTGCTAACTAAAGGAATCCTGTGAATACTTTTTTGAAATGGATAACTGAACATAAGGCGAATCAACAGCTTAATTTATGTATCTATTAACATTTACCTTTTGTTTACCTTTCTTCTGGTCTCACTTTCAAAAATTATTTGTTTGATTTCTTTCTCACTGAAGTAAAAATACTTGCCAGTTTAATATAAAAGTTGTTTTCAAGCAGAGAGTTAAGGTGCCCTGCCTTTTTATTTTGTTTAGAAAAACTATTTGACATCTCAACACATTGACTAGCAAGGTTAAAGAAATACTGGCAACAATATTTTGGTTAAAGTACTGTGCTAAATATTCTGCATTTGGTTGAAAAACATCTGTGTGAATATATGTTCCATGTCCCTTCAAATCCTTTTTGGAATACGGTA